ATACGACGCTAGTGTTCCGTTTGGGAACCCCAAATGGATATTTTAACTTTATGAAGGAACCATAAATGATTAGAAGTTAACAACCATTGATTTTAGACGGCGGTTTTGATCTCCTTTAAGATGACGTAAGGTGGATCCACAGTGTTAGCACTTCAATGTCCAAGTTAGTTCAAAATTTAATATAAGTAAAGTGAAATTGAAGATCGGAGATTGTGTATCTTTCATAATGTGTGAACTGTTTTTATATTTGGGTCGAGTATAATGGACTTGAGATTGATTGAGCTTTGATCTATTAGGCCTTTTTGGCGGGTCTAGAACAATATTCAAAGAAGATAAAATAAAATATAGTTAGGACACTACACCAAAACCCCTTAAGAAGAGATGATTCTAGGCCTAGGCATTTCTAGCTTGTTACACGAGAAATCACTAGAAATGATTTTAGGAATATGATTAAACGAAGGGAATTTTTTAGAGGTAAAATCATAACTAGCAAGTTTATCTACACATGTGTTGCCTTCTATATAAATATGGAATATCATGAAATCCAATGATTGATAAATGTACAAACAATTAAACATCCAATTTTGACGCGCTAAGGGAGAATATGTGGATTAAAAAAAGCTATCACTCATTTCCAGCCAAATGTTCTTCTAACTTCTCTCAAAAGCTAACTTAATAGCCAATATTATGATTGTTAATTAAGCAAGTAATGCATTGCCAAAACCAATAAAAGAAGAGAAGATGCCCATACGACCCATCGGGTCATTTCTAAAAATGCCACAACAAACACACAAAGAAGAGATCCCTATAGTCATTCCATCAATATTGCATTTAAGCCAACCAAGCATGGGTGCCACAAAATATTATATTTCAGCTTAGGAGGAAGAATCTTAACGTTGAAATGTTTGCGAATGTTGAAATCCAACATGGATGAGTTTAAACATGACACAAGATAAGATGTTAGTGATACAAATACAAGTTTTCTAATGAATAAATTTATTTTTAAATATTTTCTTATTTCTAGTCATCCATATTACATTGATTGAGTTTGATCACACGAGAGCAGATCAGTACATGACCTTGAGGAGAGGAGACCAGTCCTTGTCAATTGCCTTCCAACAGTCATTAAGATAATAATTAATAGAGAATGAAGTAGAAAAGGAACTTAAGAAACATACTTACCACTAAGCCACTTCACAATTGTTGAATATAATTACATTTAAATTTATTATCAATCTATCATTATTATATTGTGTACTTTACAACTCCATGGTATCTAATTCTTATTTTCTCCCTCCTTTCATACAAGTAGTTTGCTGCCAAGCAATTCAGCCTGTCAAAATTTCACTATGATTTTCTGGTCTGCCATACGAGGAGCTGATGATCACGTTTCCCGGTTAAGCTCCGTACCAAAAAAAGCTTATTTATATAACTTTTTTGTGAAGCTACAGAACTGAGATATTTAAATTTTTTGTCTTGTACCCAAACACATTCCATTATTATTAGCGAGGTTTTGGCACATAACCATCAATAGTAAAATTTCGAGTTGTGGCAGAAAGAGCCTAATAAACTCCATCAAGTTTAGGCGTTGTTTTGGCATATAATCATCATCAACAGAATTTCGAATTATGGCAGGAAGAGCCTACTGAACTCCATCAAGTTCAGGTGTGGTTTTGGCACATAATTCTAAAGCTTGACAGGAAAAGAACAATCCACTTTATATAACTGTTGATCTCTTGCTTAATGATCAAATGATCATGCCTATCCAGAAATAATTAACTAGTTTATAATAAGTGTCCAAACTACATCAGTGTTGTGAGTGAAAATGTAACCTCAAATTACCATGTTAAACATCTATTATTACACAATGATATAGCTAAAGTTAGTTAGTTCAAATTAGTTATGAATATGACTCACTAGTCCCATAGTTATTTATGGTAGTTATATTGTTGAGATTTAGTTAGAGGATTTTATCCTATACTTGACTATGAATGTCATGCTCTCATGCACTCTAGCTTAACTTTATAAGCTCATCCTCTCCCGTTTTTCCATTTTTGCTAGTTATGGATATGTAGCTTTACCTTCTGTCTTGGCAGCAAATTACTTGTATGAAAGGAGAGAGAAAATAAGAATTAGAAACCATGGAGTTGTAAAGTACACAGTATAATAATAATGACTTCATAATAAATTTAAATGTAATTATATTTAACAACTATGAAGTGGCTTAGCGGTAAGTATATTTCTCTTCCATTGGAATGACTTAGGTTCAAATCTTGACTTCGTGTATGACCAAGCGCCACATCAAATGTCACTCAAGCAAAAGTTGACGTCGTTTAAAAAAAAGGACGGAAAGCACTAACGTGGATCTTTTTGAACAATTAAAGGACCACTTTAAAACTTTTTAAAGATAAATGACCATAATAGATCCTGAGGTATACTTAAGGGACAAAAAAATGTATTTTGCCTATTATTTACTTGCAATTCAAACCAAAATGCTAATTTTTTGTTTAATCGAACATAATTCAAACTCGATATTTATACGTAGTACTTGAGATCGACATTCAGGGAATTTTCCTCATTTTACTACAGAGGCAAAATAGTACACTTGTTATTTTATCGATCAAGGCCCACCTCACTAAAGCCTGCAAAGAACGAGGCAGGGCGATGCATGCTTACTTGAGGATGTAGGCCTAAAACTTTATCCCGCTCCGCACTAATAGTGACGATGGAGTGGGGCGGACCTTCCGGCACTACTCCTTTTAGGCCTAATAATCCAAAATTTTCATGTAAATGTATATGCCCATAAAAGCCTGCAAAAAATGGAGCGGACACGTTAGAGGGCGCAAACCTAAACCTTTGGGCCACTCTTCACTAAAGTGCGGGCAAAATGGGCATGCCGAACAGGCCGGATCCGCTTTTCCACAACTAATTTTAACTAACCTAGTGGGGTCTTCCTCGAGCTAAATGGTCTCAAAATCGCCATCTTCCGACTTAGTTCTGCCTTCGAAGCCATGGCCGCCATCAAGAACCCCATTTGATTAACTTCTTTGATTTGTTTGACTTCGTCTACATTTTCAGTTACCATGACCAATCTTCCTTCCATATTGCGATACGTCACTTTTGAATGGACCAGGGATGCTACTGCATCTAATTTTGTTAGGTAAGGTCTCTATAGTATATCTCGAAAGACACTTTTGCATGACACTATCACAAAATTGAGGATCATATTTCTCTTATTATCTCCCTATCTTACAGTCAGCGCCAGATCCACGACTCCTTAAGGACAAGTGGTCGAATCATTGGATGTTAGTAGATCTTCTCCACCATACAGATTCATATTCATTTGTCGGATTTATATCACATTCATCATATTTGAGTAGAGGGTGTTACACGAACTTCTGTCGTCAACGAGTAATCCCGTTAGATCGTGATCATCAATGGTGATTGCAAAAATCAGAGGTAGATCATCGTTAGAACTTCGTTGATCTTATCTTGATCTAGGAATCTGAACCTTGATCGACTTATTCCTTTTTGAGCATCAACAACATTTGCGAGTATGGAGCGATCCAATGAAGGAAAGGTGTTAAGCAGCGTGGTACCATAGAATTCATCAATCGGTAATGTTTGACGAACAATCAATTTCGAGGATTTGTTTAATATTCCAGCCATAACGTCTGGAATTATTGTCTCTGTTATTTTTTTTTTTTACGATTACAAATCTACTTTTCAGATTACAATCGGCCTGAGTGTGAAAATTGGCAGGAATCATATGTCGTTTCCCACAAACGACGCTGGTGTTCCGTTCGAGAATCCCAAATGGATATTTTAACTTTATGAAGGAACCATAAATGATTAGAAGTTAACAACCGTTGATTTTAGACGGCGGTTTTGATCTCCTTTAAGATAGTGTAAGGTGGACCCACAGTGTTAACACTTCAATGTCCAAGTTAGTTCAAAGTTCAATATAAATAAAGTGAAGTTGAAGATCAGAGATTGTGTATCTTTCATAATGTGTGAACTGTTTTTATATTTGGGTCGAGTATAATGGACTTGAGATTGATTGAGCTTTGATCTATTAGGCCTTTTTGGCCGATCTAAAACAATATTCAAAGAAGATAAATCAAAATATAGTTGGGACACTAAACCAAAACCCAGTAAGAAGAGATGATTCTAGCTTGTTTATATGCACATATTACACCAGAAATCACTAGAGATGTTTTTAGAAATATGATTAAACAAAGTGAATTTTTTAAAAGCAAAATCATAACTAACAAGTTTATCTGCACACGTGTTGCCTTCAATATAAATGTGGAATATCATGAAACCCAATGATTGATAAATGTATAAACAATTAAACATCTAGTTTTGACGCGCCAAGGGAGAATATGTGGATTAGAAAAAGCTATCACTCATTTTCGGCCAAACGTTCTTCTAACTTCTCTCAAAAGCTAACTTAATAGCCAATACTGCACCTATTAATTAAGCAAGTAATGCATTGCCAAAACCAATAAAAAAGAAGATGCGTCATTTCTAAAAATACCACCACAAACATACAGAGAAGAGATCCCTATAGACATTCCATCAATATTGCATTTAAGCCAACCAAACATAGGTGGCACAAAATATTATATTTCAGTTTAGGAGGAAGAATCTTAATGTTGAAATGTTTGCAAATGTTGAAATCCAACATGGATGAGTTTAAACATGACACTAGATAAGATGTTAGTGATACAAATACAAGTTTTCTAATGAATAAATTTATTTTTAAATATTTTCTTATTTCTAGTCATCTATATTACATTGATTGAGTTTGATCACACGAGAATAGATCAGTAGTACATGACCTTGAGGAGAGGAGAGAGTCCTTGTCAATTGCCTTCCAACAATCGTTAAGATAATAATTAATAGAGAATGAAGTGGAAAAGGGGCTTGAGAACCAATTTCCTGGACAGTGTAGCATAGAATACAATCCATTATCTATAAATCTCATCTTCGTTTTCATGAAACCAGACGAGAGAAAACGCCGCTTTAACGATGCAATTGTTAACACACTATATCCTCCATTTCCACAGGTATTCTATATTTCATTCTCTCTCCTTCTTTATTAATTTGATCGTTAATACAATAGTATCGTTCTTTTACCATGAACAGGACCCGGAACCAGTAACAGACCCGATCGAATTGGAATCTTACACCGACGTTATTTCAGGTTCGGTTTCAAACTCAAACGAAACTTTAAAAATTCACATGATTTTGAAGCTTTTTTCGTAATGTCAGCCACTTTGGATGACTGTGAAAATGCCTCAATAAGCGGCGAAGAAGAAGAACACGGTTCTGATGCGGAGAAACTCACTAGAGCTCAACGAAAGAGAATTCGTAAGAAGAAGATGAAGGAAGAGTCCATCCTCCGTGGAAAGTTAATCGGGCCGTTGATGCCTCAATCCCAATCAACACAGGCCTGGGACCATGATCCTCCACCTGTTCGATCAAATGCTTCTAAGAAAGGTTATCCAATGAACCTGTTGACTTTTTCTTTTGAATGGCTATTGACTATGTCGTGTTCTTCCTCACTGAATTTGATTTAGGTGATGAGACTTCCCGTGCTAACGCCAAGAGAATGAAGCAGCGGAGGATGGCGAAAAGGGTTGTCAAAGAAAAGCCAGTTGCCTCTCCATTAGACAAATGTAGTCAAATTTCAAGTGATGTTGTTGATGATATGAAAGAAGCTCGAATGTAAGCATATGCGTGTAGCTCGAGTCTCTGACCTGATAATATACTAGTTTGTAGCAACAATCACAAAAAGGGATGTGATTTATAGTATTGCTTTTGTGCATGTGTTGTTGCTCTTAATGCAGTGATCATATATTCTAAACCATGACTGTGTTTGTTGTTGTTTGATAATTAATTCCAGAAATTTTCTGTGTTTGTGTTTGATGAAATGTCCTATATTACACTTAAGAGCACTTGATTGAGATGGTAATGGTCTTTTTCAGCTTGAACCAGTTTTGGGCATGCAACAAAAAAAAAGTCCCGTGTACTGCTATTTCTTTGATGAAACTTTCTTTTTAATGCTTATGTTTTGAACTTCTATATAAGCAAAAGTCTTTTGGTGACCTATATTATTTGTATTGTATGGCATTATTCTTTAGTGTATCATTATAAAATGAAGAGAAGTTTAATCTTGAAGTTAACTACATTCATTGCGGATAAAATCTTAGTTCTTCCATTAGTGTGGGTTGAATGGGCCTCTTGGACCGCACCTCATTTTTTCTGATGATTTACTTCTTTTTGCATAAGCAATTATTGAGGAAGCATTCTGTATTATGCATTGCTTGGAGTTTTGTCTAACTTCAGACCAAAAGTTGAATCCTTACAAAACCCATTTTTACTTCTCCAGAAAATGCGGACTGGACCAGAAGTTGCATAGTGCAAACTTGGTAAATCATCAATATCTCCATATGATATGCTCAGTTGCCGAAGATGGTGTATTATCACTTGGGGATATTGCAAAGAAGCTTCATCTATGGAAATTCAGACACTATGCATAAAGTGCACTCGGATGGGTGGGATGTATGCTATTAAGCATGAGAAATGGTGGCCTTGGTCTCAAGAACCTTCATTGCATGAATGAGGCCTTTCAAATGAAGGTTATTTGAAACACCCTAGATTATTGCAAATTGGTTCTAACAGAGATGGTTCCGATTCTTCATCCTCATGTGGACATGGAATAGGTGGTTATGATTATGGTGGTAGAAACTCCAACCGTTTCTGCATTCACCGGGTACTCTTCCAAAAAAATTGTAATTAATGTTTCTGAGGAAGATAATGATGACTCAAATTGTCCAAAACAAATATCTTTGGTAGATATTTTACATCAATATCAACAAATAGTATGTTTCAAAGCAGCATGTCAAATTCTACCAATTCTGACTCTCAGGATGCTTCTAGCTATGTGATTCCTAATATTCATGCAATAGCTTCAATCTCTGCGCCTCCAACAAGTAATTTATCTACTTCTTGGATCATAGGCACATGGAAACTAACCACTTTACTTATTCACTTACTCATTTTATACATTCTGATTCAATAAAACCTTTTTCAGTTAGATTGTCAAATGGTTCTCAAACTTCATCATATATTGTTGATTGTCTTGTCTTGTCACCTTCATTTACTTAAGAATTTTTTTTGTTCATTCTTGATTTTAAAGTTAGCTTGATGCATGTTACTCAGATTATTAATTCTCTTTAATGTTGATTCCATTTTCATTCTAATGGTTGTTTCATTTTGCACATCCACAATAAGAAACTGATTGGTACAATTGAAAAACATGGAAATGTCAATGTTTCCAAGGCTCATATAACACCTTCTCCTTCCATTTTACACTTTAGGGATGTATCTTCTTGTAATAACACTACCATTGATTATGCCTCCTTATGGCATAGTAAAATAGGACATTTACCACATTATATTAAAAAAATAAGGTATCAAGAACTCAACCCAAGTATATCTTCGGTAGTCATCAACACAAACACATACTTCTTTCCTTCAAGGCTCTCAACTTTTGGATCTCATGCTACATGGATAGTGATAAGATGTTGGACCTTATTATGTAACATCTTGGCCTTCTTCTGTATTTGACAATCATCATAAATTTTAGAGGATTTAACTTGCCACCCTCCAAATTATACCCGACATTCTCATATTTTTATAATCTCAAAAATGTCTCGGATAAAAGAAGAATAATTTTTTCAAATGAAATTTCTGGTACAATAGTGCAAATTTCTGATATGTATAAAATTTTCGGTAGTTCATTTGAAATTTTTGGTAAGTTACAATTAGTTTTGGAAATTTCGAAATTTCTGGTAAAATTCGATAAATTTCAAAATTTTAGGTAAAATATCCCGAAAATTTCAAAATTTCAAGTAGGGGGCAAAATCTCTCAGAAATTTCTGATAAAATTCAGGAAATTTCAAAAAAATTACTAAAATCTCCCAGAAACTTCTGGTAAAATCTCTCAGAAATTTCAAATTTTCTAGTAAGTTTTTCTAGAAATTTCAAAATTTTATGGTAAAATCTTTCGAAAATTTTGAAATTTCTGATAAAAATCTCACTTTTTAAATAATATTCGGTATGTGCATAAAATTTTCGGTATCGCCTGAGAAATTTCAAAATTCTTTATGGAAACTTTGAACAAGGTTATTATGGTCTTTACACACGCTTTGGGAGTTGTCAGGTACAACTTAGGGGTGACAAGTTAAATTCTCTAGAATTTTTCTTCTTCGATCTAGAGATCGGGTAGGCCAACAAGGGCCTTATTAGAGACAATCTTCCTAATACTTCTGAGATTTAAGTGTTCAAGTTTTTTTGTGTCACAATTTTGTTTTATCAGTTTTAGAGACAAGACTGATGTTGATTCTTGTCATATGGTGCCACATGTAACCGTTCGTAAGTATATCCATATCTCATTATTAGTTGAGCATGGTTTTTATTTGTGACTGTGCATTCAACTCTATTGAAATTGACGTATAAATCTTGACCACAAAGTTGACTTATGCTAATAAGGTTAAAAGCGAGACCATCAACTAGTAGAACATCATTAAGGCAAAGAAGACCAAAAATATTTTATCTTCCCTTTACCAATAATTTTGTCGTTAGCACCATTACCGAACGCGACATAACTGTTAGAATAATATTTAATATCCCGTAGATGATTTTTTTTCTCTAGTCATGTGTCTTGAACAACCATTGTCAAAGTATCAATATTCACACGATGAGACTCTTGGAGAGGTATATGCAATATGGCCCAGTATGTTAGGCCTAACAATCTAACATTATTGAGGAAACACATTAGACATATCCTTCCATTGAGGATGTGACTGATTATGGTTTAATGGTATTTTATATAGTTTGTAGCAATAAATTCATATGTGACCACGTCAACCTCAGTAGTGACATACCCAAGAGAATCTGATATGAAACTTATAATGTTGGTCAAGATGTTTGGAAGGTTATTGTAACTTATAACTAGATATTATGAATTTTGTTTTCTGAACAAGTGTAACAAATATATTCTTTGTAATTGGATAACTCACTAGTAACCTAATTCCATTCATGTCTTTTGATGACTTTCCTACACCTAAAGTTTCCTAAAGGTTCTTAGTTCCAGAATTCATAATGCGGATATATTTGGTCAAACCGTCAAGTTTTGAATTTAGATGGCGAACTTCTTCCTTCAACTCTGAGATAGTTAGCACAAGATGAGTTTTTTTAAGAAGAGGTTCAATACTCTCATTCTGATTTTCAACAACTTGAGATTCTTCAGTCCATTTGGACTACAATGTCTTGTAGGTTTCAAAAAGGCCATCATCAAATAAGTCATCGTCACTAATATCATCATAACATTAGGCACATGTGAATTTGATCTTATGCGATTAGTGAACGCCACCACACTGTTCACTTGATTGGATTCACTTTCTTCGTCTGACTCATCATTATAGAAAGTGGCATTGTATCCCTTTTCTTTTTTCCAAGAAAATTTGAATATTCATCCTTAATATGGCTAAAACCTTCACATTCCTAGCATTGGATTATCTTGCCCTTGTTCAATTTTTCTCCATCTTTTTCTTTACGCTGAAAGTTTCCACCTTTTGAATTATGATGTTGGTTGTCTTTGAAATTAGTAAATACATTATTTTTGGACCTTCTATAAAGTTTTATCATGACCTTGCTAAAGCTCTTAGTTAGCGCGACAATGGACTCACAATCTTCAATGTTCACTTTTAATGATACACTCTTACTTTTTTTCCTCATATTTGTCATAAATGGCCATTTAAAACTTGAGTAAGGATCCAATTAAATCGTCAAATTTCATTGCTAAAACATCTTGAGCTTCTTCAAGGGTTGTAACCTTTATGTATAACCTCTTGGGAAGATATCTTAGAATTTTCCTTACAAGTTTTTTGTTTCCGTAATAGAACCGGAATTGGTGTTGATTGATTGCAGAGGACTTTAGAATCAATGATGTTGATCTCCAATATGGTGGCGTGGGGTAGACCGACAAGGTTATCACTCTAACACCCAAGTTAGTTACAGAGTCCAAGGGGTGAGTATAATAAAAATTGGAGGGTCTTATTGTGGGTTACTTGTTTTAGGCAGTGAGCATGGCCATTATTATAGGTTACCTGTTTTAGGGAATGAAGGATTTGCATAGATCTTTCCAAGAATCTTTCCTCCTGTTCGTGAGGGTCTTAAACCAAATCATAACAAATCCTGTCAAGGTTAGTGCAAATATTTTACACTTTACGTCCCCTTAGGCATGATAATAATCTAACTGGTTGTCCATGTTTTCGATGTGTTTGTTTGGATCCCTAATCCCATAATAGGTTTGAAGTTTCGAAGGTTTTTCTAGTGATCTTGGAATCCTGACATTGAGGATGCAATCAGAAAGTGGATTTATTTATCACTTTGGTATGAGTGTCTTCGACATACTTTTCCCTCATTCGAGGACGGAAGACCTATGGGGGAGTCTAGTTATTGTCCCCCCCTTCAAGATAGAGGGTAAGAGTCACATGCCTTTGGGGACGACGGTGACTCGGTGACCTCGAGATTTTTCCTTAAGGTGTTGCTGCTCTGATGGAGTCGACTCAGGAATGGTGACTTGATTTTTATGGGAGTGTCTTCCATATAATGCTATTCTTCAGATTAATGTGTTATAGACTCTCTTCAATCCTAAACAGCTTTTCATCAAGAATTGTGAATTTTTCTATTGCACTAGATTGTAAACATTGTACAACAGATCATTAGCTCCTTGCCACTGAATTTAGTTTGTAGATACTAAAGGCCATGAAGTGTTTCTTGTTAGGGAATCACATGTAGTGGCGGAGATCTATGTGAAGGTTTTCCTTGATGAAATTGTTGGTTGGATATGAATAAAGGAAGATTGGATGGAGATTTGAACATGACCATGCTGCGAAAGATTGGATGGAGATGCTAGACATATTAAATTGTCTTCAACTTGAGGATGACGAAGTGTATCTTCAATAGTTTCAACAACGGCGACAACGACTTTCCATTGAACTAAGGAGTAAGTGGATTTGGATTCCGCCATATTTGATGGATCTAAATAATGGTATGTTGGAAGGAGGTTGAGATCCGAGGAAGAAGATCAAGAAATAGAGATGTGAACTTCTAGAGATGAGTTGTGTATCAAGGGATCAAAGGAGATCAGAAGGTGAAAATACTTGAGAATCAAATTTCAGTTCCCACATACATCACTATTGTTTCATAGTGGAACCAAAATTATTCGATGGATGATGTAGTGCTTGCAACGGTGGACTTGAACTTTAGATGGAGTTACGCATGGCAACAAAACTTGTACTCGCGGGTACCCACCTGAACCCGCCCTGAAGTTGACGGGAAAAACCCACTTTGACTGGGTTTGGGTTTTCTCCGATTACAAAATTTAGGGATGTGTCGGGTAATTCGGACACTAGTACCCACCCCGAACCCGCCCCTGAACCTGCCCTGTTTATTTCATTATTATTATTAT